TTCCTGTCCACTTGTATTCGAGCTCATCAACTGACAGTTAATTGTAATGGGATCTAAGTTAGCGCTCTAACAATAATAAGGTAATTCCCATTTTGTCAGCTTTTCATAAGCAGACATTAAATAACACCCAAGGAAATCTTTAGCTTAACTCTAGCTTTCCTACTTTCCTTGAATTTGTATTGCAACATGTTTTTTAGACTATTCTGCAATGATGTTTTCACATTTAAAATTTGCCTTAGATTCTACCAGTGTAAACCAGAGAGCAGTAGAGATTTGTGGGTCAAAAAAGAAAAGGTCTTTGGCAACATGAATGGCCTTTGGAGCTGTTAGATCTCAGGATGCACCATCTGCTGTGTTTGATCTGCATCAGCCCAGCATGGTGAAGAACCATACCCTCACACCCTGTGTTGAGGAGACTGGGCAGAATGGGAAAGAAAGGCCAAGGCTTAGTCCAGGAAGATCTTGTTTTAATACCATAAGGTGGGTGTATGTCCCAGTAGAAGCTGACCAGACTGCTAGTTAGGAGAGGACATGACAGTGCTTCCAGTCTTTCTACCTTTAGGCAGCACAGTGAGTGGAGCATGAATCCGTGTGTGGTTGGATGGGCTGAGATCGCACAGATGTATACAGGGAAGCTACATTGAAATGAGGTTATATTCAGGAAGGACTTAACTCAGCAAGAGAGTCCCCTTTCTTTCCTGTTATTAGCATATTTTTTGATGCCCTGTAATACTTTGGTTCTTCCCATTGATGGTACAGATGAAATGCTTAGAATCTGTAATTTCTTGGCTTCAGTAAATCTGCCTTAAAGTGTTGTGGTTTGTTCTTTGCCAGGACTGAATTTCAGTAGAAAACTTGAGCCTATGCTCTGCTTTTCCATAAGAATAATGATTTTTGCCACTGCTGCCTCCCCATTAACAAGTGTTTTGTTTTTATTTGTGTTCACAGTATATTTCATATTTAGATCTTCTAGGTGACTTGCAGCAAATTTGAAGTCTCTTTTTGAGACTTGTATTTCCAAATGTGAGTTGTATAAAAGCAAAACAGTCCAAGGTTGAACTGTATGTTAACTTTGCTGAAAACAGATTTTAAATGACTGAAAGTTGGGTAAGAGCCTAGTTTTTGTCCCCTAAACCACATCACAGGTAAGTAGGTTTTTGTTTTGTAGTATCCTAAAAATAGTGTTTGTTGTTCTCTCATTGTTTTGGTAAGGCACAGCTTTGTGGACTTTTAAATCCAAGTTTTTTAGATCTATGAGAGGCTGTTCCTCAGAAATTACTAGAAAGTAACCAAATAGAAAGTCATGGTCATGATAGAGTTTATAAGACATGTTTGCTTAGAGAGTTACAACAAAAAAATCAAAGTGTAGGAACAGGTATCATTGAAGAGCAGGTTGCTCAAGAGATCTCTTGTTTGTCTCCCTTTTTTTGTTCTCCTAGGTATCTAGAAGACCAGAAGACAGAGAATGGGAAAGATAAGGAGCAGAAACCGACAAATTCTGATAAAGAAAAAGTGAAGGAGAAAGGGAGCTTCTCTGATGTGGATGCAAAAGTGAAATCGGATTCATTTGCTTCCAAGACTGACAGTGAGAAGCCCTTTAGGAGCAGTCAGTCGCCCAAAAGGTATAAGCTCCGTGATGACTTTGAGAAGAAGATGGCAGATTTCCACAAGGAGGAGATGGATGATCAAGATAAGGACAAAACTAAGGGAAGGAAGGAATCTGAGTTTGATGATGAACCCAAATTCATGTCGAAAGTCATAGCTGGTGCAAGTAAAAACCAGGAGGATGAGAAGTCGGGCAAATGGGAGGGCCTGATGTATGCAGGGAAGGAAAAGCAGAGGAAAGCAGAGGAGTTGGAAGAGGAGTCTTTCACAGAGAGATCCAAAAAGGAAGAGCGAGGAGGAGCCAAGAGGAGTGAAAGTGGGCACCGGGGGTTTGTGCCTGAGAAGAATTTCCGAGTGACTGCATATAAGGCAGTGCAAGAGAAAAGCTCATCACCTCCCCCAAGGAAGACCTCTGAGAGCCGTGAGAAGCTGGGAGCCAAAGGAGACTTTTCCTCGGGAAAGTCTTCATTTTCCATTACTCGAGAGGCCCAGGTCAATGTACGCATGGATTCATTCGATGAGGACCTTGCACGGTGAGTTATGCTTCATGTTGGTCTCTGGGCTCTAGTGCTGTAAGAGGTGCCTTTCACTCTCACTCCTCCTAAGGACAGGCTCCTTTATGTGCCTGCCTGCTGTTTAGCCATCAGTCCTGATAAAATGTGTTGCTCATTGATTAAGTGCTCAGGGGCAGCATTGTTGGGGAGGAGGTTTTTTGTTTTTTGTTTTTTGGGTTTTTTTTGGTCTATTTGGCTTTCTTGGTTGTTCTATGCTTTTCTTTTGCTCTTGTTATCACCCCTAGCCTACCCTACCCTACCTCTCCATCTTTTCCTTTCCTTTATTTAAAGATGTGTTTCAGGGACCGGGGATATGGCTCAGTGGTGTAAGCACCTGCCTGGCAAGCACAAGGTCCTGAGTTCAATCCCCAGTACCACAGAAAAAAAAAAAAAAATGTGTTTCAGCCAGGCATGATGGTGTATGTCTGTAATCTCACTTGGGAAGCTGAGGTAGGATAGTCAGATGAGTTTGAGGCCGTCACATACTGAGTTCAAGACCATCCTGAACTATACAGCAAGACCCCATCTCAAAAAGGGACAGGGTATGGGTATAGTTCAGCAGTACAAGTGTCTGCTTGGCAAAGGTCCTAAATTCAGTTCCCAGTACCCCCCCCAAAAAAAAAGTCAACACCTTAGGATTTGCCTCTCCATTTTAGTTGGGTTTTCATAGTGTATTATAGCCCCATCATCATCATCAAAAAAAAAAAAACCTTACTGTTTTAGGTACCTCTCCCCCGGCATTCAGAAGGGTGATGAGGCCCAGTCTGGCTGGACCTGGTATAGTCTTTCTACCCATTTGGAAGTCTGCTTGAAAAGAGTTTCAGCCATATCCCACTCTTTCTTGCCTTTGTTACCACCTCACCTCACTGACCGTGGCTGGCCAAACTAAATGATCATTAAGTATCATCTAGTGGATATGGTACCTACCTGTAATCCTAGGATGCTGGGAGCCTGAATCGGGAGGATCTCATATTTGAGTCTACCCTGGATACTAGCAGTGTTTATAGAAACACTGTCTCCAAGATAAAGGGTTGGGGATGTGGCTCATGGTGAAGTCTCCTGAGCCCAGTCCCCAGTACTACCAGAAACAAATTTCCTATTTGTTGTGTGTGTGAAATCAGCAGCAGCCCCACAGTAATCACTGGGGTTTAATACCTCCTTATCCAAAGATCTGCACAGATAAAAAGGGAGAGTTTTGGCTTTGTTTCCATAGTATGGCATGTTGAAGTTACTTTGAGCTTTGATTGATAAAAAGGCACTCTATAGAGAGGTTTAAAACTCATTGAAGGCTGGGGATATATAACTCAGTGGCTCAGTGCCTACTTGGCCAGGCAGAAAGTCCTGTGAGATCAATTTCTGGCAAACCTCCCCCCCCCAAAAAAAAATCCACCCCATTGAAAGAAAAGTGACACCTTTTTGTGGTTTAAATGTTTCTAACTTCCTGTACTATCTTTTTTAGTTAAGCTTCTCCATATTTCATTTTCAGACCCAGTGGTTTGTTGGCTCAGGAACGCAAGCTTTGTCGGGATCTGGTTCATAGCAACAAAAAGGAGCAGGAGTTTCGTTCCATTTTCCAGCACATTCAGTCAGCTCAGTCTCAGCGTAGCCCTTCAGAATTGTTTGCTCAGCATATAGTGACCATTGTTCACCATGTTAAAGGTGAGTCCAGACCTTCTTTCCACAGTTGTCTCCTCTGTTCTAAGTAGAATGAGTGGGTGGGTGGGGCCCTTCATCTCATCTAAAGAGCTCTGGAACTAACTTTGGGAAATTCCTTCCAAGGAGAAGTTTCCTTGTTTTAATTATAAATATGAATTATTTTGAAATAGCGATCTACGATCATAAAAATAGGTAGTCATCTTTTTTATTTTATTGTTTAAAGAATAGGTAATATCCTTAACATTGAAAATGTTTGAAGACTTAGAAGATACTAAAAAATAGCTTCCCCAGTAGCTCTTTTACTTTCTGGTGATGTTTTTCAGGCATTGTATTAAGAATTATTTTACTGGGGCTGGTGAGATGGCTCAGTGGTCTAAAGCACCTACTTAGAACAAGCTTAGCAAA